AAGAGGCCCTGGGTTCAATCCTTCCAGCACTGTGGGGGGGGGGGGACAAAAATAAAATAAATAAACAAATAAGTAAATAAATAAATAAAATAAAATCTCGGGAGGCTGAATAGGACCCCTATGAGTTTCAGGCCAGCCTAGGCTACATAGAGAGACCCTGTCTCAAAAAACAAAAAACAAAATCCCAAAAGAATTAAAAACCAAAGAAGAATAAACATTAAGCATCTTGATACCTAGGCTAAGTAGAGTGACCTTGTTTAAAAGAAGAGAGAGGGCCAGGATTTAGCTCAGTTGTTCCGCCACCTGCCTCACAAGCGGAAGGACCCAAGTTCGATCCCTGGTACCAAAACAAAACAAAAAACATAAAAGAAAAGAGAGAGAGAATATGAATATGAATATACAAGTCTTTTGGTGAATTATATTCCCTAAGTCTAAGACTCTCCTAAAAAGGCTCAGGTAATAGACACATTGGAGCAAGATGCAGAGAGAGGGATGATCTCAGGCCAGAGGGCCTCCTAGGGAGGCCTGGGCACAGCAGTGAAGAGTGATACTCACCCACCCCCACAGCAAAGCCCTTCCTCCAGGCCCCAGGAAAGTCACAGCAAGCATTTCTCACCCCCTTTTCTCCTCAGTAATGCCCCCCACCACCAACACTTGTCACAAGCAAGAGGATGGGGACAGCACCAGCTGGCACTCCTGCCCTTCTCACTGCTTCACCAAAAGTCTCTCCCTTTTCACCCAGCATATCCTGCCAGTCTCACCCCACTGCCATCTCCCCACCTCTTTTAATTTTTTTTATTAGTACATGTTTGCGGTACATCGTGAATATATTCACTGTGGATAGTTGGTACATGTACACCTCTACCCTGCAGCCTAGATGCCTCTTCTCTGTCCCCTCCCCAAGGCAAGCCTCTGCTTTCCAGTTCTAACACTTACCCTCCACCCTCACCTGCTCCAGGAAGCCCACCCTGATCCTCAGACTAACCAGGTCTTCTCATTCAGCTCCTCCATGCTTCTCAAGGGCTCTCTGAGGTTTGCAACTGGATGTGGACTTGTATGATGGTGTGATGACTGCCTCTATGCCTGAGGAGGCAGAATGCTGGAGTCTCATCCAGCCTGTTGTTTTATCATTTAACCATCATTAAACTAGGCAGTCTTGGGGCCGGGGATTTTAGCTCAGTGGTTCCGCCGCCTGCCTCGCAAGTGCAAGGACCTGAGTTTGATCCTTGGTACAAAAACCAACCAACCAAACAAAAAAAAAACACCAGCCAGTCTTCCTTCAGGCACAATTTGGGCAGTGAGGATGTCATCATTAACCAGGACAGAGGCCAAATGGGACAGAGAGACAGTCACACAACAGGTAGGGGGTGGGGACAGGAGAAGTTCCACTGAAAGTCCATGAGCTGGAGCTGGAGCCACCTCCACTCTGAGTAAAGGAGCTTGAGTCTGGAGCCTCCAACCCCAGCCTGGATAACATGGACCTGGTTATTTCTTCCTTCCCTGTGCCTGTCACTCAGTCACACACAGTGGTTTTTGGGAAGGAAAAGGGTTGGAGCAACAGAGGCCTAGAAACAGCAGGAGGACTTCCTTGGATTCACACCTCTCTGCCCCGAATGGGTGGTGCTTCCCTTCCTTCCCAGAGGCAGTGACCGCTGCGTGGATTCTGCTCAGCTAACTCACGTCCAGCGTGGAGGTCTAGGTGCAGGTAGGTGGTGCGGGCTGGCCCTTCTGTCTCACAGAGGCGCAGGCTGGTTCTGTGACAGGGAGGCCTGGGAAAGATGCCCTGGAGCTGTCGCAATGGAAGAGCACAGGAACGTACCCTACCAGGCTGGACCACCAGCTGGGGACAGGCTTGCAGTTTCCCGCGAGTCGTGTAGAAGGAGCAGTCAGTGTTCCAGGGCTCGAAGTTCCAGCGCCAAAGCGGTTCCGAGCTCCCGGCTACACAGTGGTTGGACTCGGCGCGCCCCCTGCCGGCTCCTCTGGCCTCGCTCCGCCCCACGCCAGCCAATAAGCGCGGCCGTAAAGGGCGTGTCCCCCAAACCCCGGTACATAAATGCGTCGCGCTTTACAGGTCCTACACGCTTCTGGCTCTGACACAGACTCAGAAAGAATTCACCATGGTGCTGTCTCCTGCTGACAAGAGCAACGTGAAGGCTGCCTGGGACAAGATTGGGGGCCATGGTGCGCAGTATGGCGCGGAGGCCCTGACCAGGTGAGGAACCCCTGTCCCTTGGTCGGACCTGGGACCAACCCAACCCCAGAGCCCGGGGCACCCCAAATTGTCCGCCCGCAGCCTCTCCAACCCCGCTCAACTGTTGCTTCTCTCTGCAGGATGTTTCTGAGTTTCCCAACCACCAAGACCTACTTCCACCACTTCGACCTGAGCCCAGGCTCTGCCCAGATCCAGGGCCATGGGAAGAAAGTGGCGGACGCGCTAACCACCGCCGTGGGCCACCTGGACGACTTGCCCAGTGCGCTGTCCGCCCTGAGCGACCTGCACGCCCACAAGCTGCGTGTGGACCCCGTGAACTTCAAGGTGAATGCTTGGGCCAGGCCAGGAAGGATCCACGGATTCCAGAAGGTAGTCAGTCGGTGTTGTCCGCAGCCACTCACCGGGACTTTCTCTCTCCACAGCTCCTGAGCCACTGCCTGCTCGTGACCCTGGCTGCCCATCACCCAGCGGAATTTACCCCCGCGGTCCATGCTTCCTTGGACAAGTTCTTGGCCACTGTGAGCACCGTGCTGACTTCCAAATACCGTTAAGCTGGAGCGACCCTGCAGGGTCTCCTTTCAGGCCCTTCTCCCTTCCTTGCACCTGCACCTCTTGGTCTTTGAATAAAGTCTGAATGGGCAGCAACCAGTGGCCTCTGTGTTCTCTGTGTCCATGATAGTGCCAAGATTGGGAATAGTCATTGCGTCTTAGGAACACACCAATGGCCTAGAGCAAAGGTCTCTTCCTGGTGGAGAAAGGGGGGAAAAGGAGAGAAAGGAAGGAAAGAGGGGAAAAGAGAGCCTGGTGTTGAAGAATTCAATGCACAACCCCTGGGCCCTGAAAGGGTTAATTAGTTCACTCCAGAGCTTTGCAGACTTAACATGAGTTTGCTGCCCTAATCCACTAGTTTTCATACTTCTTGCACATGCAAACACACTTGCACTGAGCACTGGGCCAGCTCTCCAGGGCTCCTCCAGAGGTGGATGGTGAAGAGTCCTCCCCCTTCATGTCCCACTGATCTCTCTATAACCCCCACATGCCCTTCACAGTCTGGCTGAAACTGGGGGTGACACCACACAGTACTCTGGAGGTGTCACCACCTGAGGATGATCACTGCTTGGCCACCAATGTCCTAGGGCCAAGATCAGAAGACTCAATTTTTGGGCCCAGCCTAGCACCCAGTCAGCTGCTCTGGGGCTAGTTTCCCAGTCCCCATGGCTAGTAGGAGACTTCCCAGAGCCGGGAAGGCCTGGCCAAAGCCCTTCCCCGATGTGCTTCCTTCCTGCAGAGCAGGCCCTAGACCTGGGGCCTCAGAAGGAGGGCTTGGATTTCCTGGTCTTGGCACCCTTTCAGCCCCAGCCATTGGCTGACACTAGCATCTTTTCTTTCCTGTGCTCAAGAGTCTTCCTAGAAAAATACCCGTGGCAGCCCTCTGCCCAGATTGGGATGGCTTAACCACCACCTGTGGCACAGTATGAGTTCTGGGTAAGAGGCTGTCTTTGTTATTTTACCAGAAAATGGAGTTCAAGGTGGAAACACATCAAATGTACATGAGTGCATAAATAGGTAAACAAAATCTGGAATATACACAGAATGAAATATTCAGCCATAAAAAGAAATGAATTTTTTTGCTATTTTTTCTTTTTTTTTTTGAGACAGGGTCTTACTATAGTTCAGGCTGGCCTTGAACTATGTAGCCCAGGCTGGCCTCGAACTTGCAGACATCCTTCTCCCTCAGCCTCCTGAGTGCTGAAACAGGAATGAAGTTCCTAAAAGATGTGACTTAATCTTGAAAATATGTTGAGTGGAGGAAGCGAGACACCAAAGGCCACATAGTATATTATCCCTTTTTTTTTTTAAATACCCAGGATATGCAAATCCTTAGGGACAGAAAACAGGTTACTGGTTGCCCGCTCCTGGAGGAGGGATGTTGAGTAGTTACTAATAGGTATGGAGTTCCTGTTTGGGATGATGAAGTAGTTCTGGAACTAGATAGTAGCGATGGCTGTACAACACTGTGAATTTACTAAATACCAATGATTTTACACTATTTTTTGAGACAGGGCCTCATTAGTCCACTTTAGCCTTGAATTCAACCTAAATGCTGGGATTACAGGCATGTGTCACTATGCCTGGCTTTGTACACTTTTAAAATGGTAAAATGATAACTTACGTGACTTTTAACTCAATTTTTAAAAATGCAGTGTGGTACCTGATTGTGATGATGCACAGGCACTTACTATTGTTATTGGGACTCATCATAGGCACCCCATAAACGTTCATTGTCCTGAAAGGAATATCTGCTGAGAGCGAGGCACTTAAAATTTGTTATCCATTTAATGCTCACATCAATTCTGAGAAGAAATTGTTGTTCTCGTTTTATATGAGAAAAGAGACTCGGGGAGGTCTCCTAATATCAACACAAACTTCCAGTGTCAAAATACACGCTAAAATTCAGTGTTGCCTAATAATAAGAATACATATCAGGGGGCCAGGGATTTAGCTCAGTGGTTTCGCCGCCTGCTGCGCAAGCCCAAGGACCCGAGTTCGATCCCTGGTACAAAAAAAAAAAAAAGAATACATATTAGATACTATTTTCCACATAGCAAACATTTAAAAGCGTGAGGCCTCAGGGTTCAGGCTGATTCCAAGGGTCGCAGGTCAGAGCAGGGTGGACAGAGGCGCTCAGCACGGCAGGAACGGCGCGAACGTGGCGGGCGCCCCCTGGAGGCCGTGCGCATTCCTCCGCGCAGTGGCGCGCTTGCATCCTCGGCTCAAAGCGCTTGGCTCCAGCAGGGATGGAGCTGTCTGCGGCGGACCAGGCAGCGGTGCGCGCACTGTGGAAGAAGATGGGTACCAACGTCGGCGTCTATGCGACCGAGGCCCTGGAGAGGTGCCGATTGGGGCTGAGTGTCCCATGACTCCACCGCCCATGCTCTCGCCCCAGGATCGTGCGCCACCTGCACTGGCCACAGCAACACCTACCCTTTGTTCCTCCTGCAGGACCTTTCTGGCCTTCCCCTCCACCAAGACCTACTTCCCACACTGGAACCTGAGCATCGGCTCCGCCCAAGTCAAAGCCCTCGGCCAGAAGGTGGCCGACGCGCTGACCCTCGCCGTGGACCAGCTGTACGACCTGCCGGGAGCACTGTCAGCTCTGAGTGACCTGCACGCACACAAGCTTCGCGTAGACCCGGCCAACTTCCACGTGAGTGCGCAGGTGGGCTGGGCAGTTGTGGCAGGCAGGGGTGCCAACCAGGGATGTGCTCAACGATGAACCCAGGGAGGGTGGCCCCTCTGCCCACAGCTCCTGGGCCACTGTCTCCTGGTGACCCTCGCCCGGCACTACCCTGGAGACTTCAGCCCTGCTATGCAGGCGTCACTGGACAAGTTTCTGAGCCTCGTGACTTCAGCCCTGACCTCCAAGTACAGCTGAACTGGGTGTGGGTGCTCATGGGTCCCGTCTCCTCCCAGCGTTCGAGTAAAGTTCCCCAGAGCCCTGTACTGCTGCATGTCTTCTGGAATGGGGAGGAGGGGGTCTCCGCCCTCAAGGGAAGGGGTAGGGTGTGCGTCCCAGCCCCTTCCTGGACTTTTACAAGGTTTCTGGAAGGTTCAGGGGGTCCACATTCCTGCAAGGCTGGGGTATTGGGTCACATTCCCAATCACGAACCCAGGACACATCTCACCTTTGGTCCTGATCATTTCAGGGTGGAGACCTGTGGGATGTCTGGCCCACAGAAAGGTGGCATATCGATGGGTCTCAGGTGGTAGGGCTGCCAGTACCGTGACACCCAGCCTGGACCCTCCCCAGGACTCCTCTGGCCCCACAGCATGACCCCTCACCAACTGGAGGGTCCATTTGCGGGGCTCCATGTCATCAGATGGGTATATCCAGGACTGGGGTACAGCCCAAAAAAACGGGATCACGGGACCTGCCAGTGCAGGGCCAACCTGTGTGGTGACTTCAGTATGAGGGAGGCTTGTGGTGAAAGCCTGGCACTTCCAGACCCAACCTGGTATAAGGTGGTTCCTGAGGCAGATCCTGGGTCACTACAGTTGGGTAGCTGGGCCCACCTGGACCCTGCCTTCATCTGACATGTCTGTAAGGGTGGAAGTAGGGCTGCTTTTGTCTGCAGAAAATCAGTCATGGCCATTGAGGAAATCTGAGAAAACACTCCACTTACTGGCCCTTTTTGTGTATCCCAGGCCCAAGGAATGGGTGGAGCACATCCCATTAATAACTCCCACTTGACACATGGTAAACAGTGTACAAGAAACTGATACACCACACGCGTGACATGTGCATACCACACATGGATAGAAACAGGCCGCACCCAGACAGGAAACAGTAATGGGTTTCAGGTCCTTCCAGTCTTTTATTAAAGATTTTTTTTTTTCTCGGTACCGGGGATTGAACTCAGGACCTTGTGCTTGCGAGGCAGTTGTGGTGTCACTGAGCTAAATCCCTGGCAAGATAATTTTGTTAAAGCTGAGCATTGTGGCACACACCTGTAATTCCAGCGCTAAGGAGGCCAAGGCAGGAGGATTGCTCTAAGTTTGAGGCAAGGCTAAGCTACATTGTGAGTTCGAGGCCAGCCTGAACTATACAGCGAGACCATGTCTCAAAAAAATCAAAATCAGGGCCAGGGATTTTAGCTCAGTGGCACCACGCCTGCCTTGCAAGTGCAAGGTCCTGAGTTCGATTCTGAGTACCAGAAAAAAAAAAGCCCCAAACCAAACAACAAACCCCCCACCCCCACCCCCCACCAAAAAAAGAGAAAGAAATGGTATCCCTAAAATGACAGGAAAAAGTAGACAGAGCAGACTACATGAAGAGAAAAAAAATTAGGGAGTATATGATGGTTCTATCAACCTGACTGACCTAAGGGATGCCCAGGTAGCTTGCAAAGCCATTATTTATAGTGATGTCTGAAGTTTCCAGAAGAGATTGGCACTAGAATTGGCAGAATGAGTAAAGACCACCCTGCCCAAAGTGGCTAGGTATAATCATCCATCCACTGGGAGCAAAACCAGAAAAAGTGGAAGACCAATCTGTTTTCTGCATGAGCTGGGATGACCATCTCCTGCCATGATTCTTGGGCCTTTGGGTTTGGACTGGACCACCACTGGCTTTCCTAGGCCTCAGTTTGGAGACAGCAGATCCTGGGACTCATCCTGTGATGGCCACAGCCAATCCCTCATAATAAATCTCTATGTATCCATATGTCCTATTGGGTCTGTTTTACTTAACTCTAATACACAGATAGGGGGTGGGAGCTGGGCATGGTGGCATTTGTGTAGTTCCAGTATTCAGGAGGGTTGCTTGAGCCTAAGAGTCCAGCCTAGGGAACACAGTGAAACCCCATCCCAAAAAAAAAAAAAAAAAAAAGTATATCTCATTATAATAATTCGTTTTTTAAAAAAACACCCCCCACCAAGAGATGGGAGGCTGAGGCAGGAGTCCCTTCTGCAGCACTGCCCCTCACAGCCCAGCACCTGCAGGACATGTCAGAGTGCCCCCAGTAGGGTCAGGAAACATGTGACCTCAGCTTTAGTGCTCTTTGCCTCTACCTCCCAGGACATCCCTTAACCCCCCCAGGGCTTCCCAACTCCTGCTTACTGCCCAACCCCAAAGGGACTTTTGTACAGAAAGCAAATGTAGATCCAGGCTCACCCTTGCCCAGCAAGCTCAAGAGTCAACACCACCTACCAAGCACAGCTACTATCTTGCTTTTCTAAAAACACTACCAATGGTATGTGGAATTCTTCCCACAGTGTGAGCAGAGCATATTCTAGGATGACCCTCTGGTCTGCCTCAGCCCAGGCTAGACGGAAAGTGGTGCCTCCTGAGTGGGGAGACCCTGTAACATGCAGATTTCTTCACAGAGCAGGGATGCACCTCTCAGACCCAAACAACTCCTTTCAGACTTGCAGGCACTGCTATGGAAAGGACCACACTGGATGAGAAGGTTCAAACGTGGGTTGCCTGCAGCAAACTGAGACTTGATACAGGTGGCTGATCTGGGGATGAGGAATGGGAGGAAGGAAAAGCCACTGAAGGACAAAGTCAAGACAGCCCTGGAGGCTAGGAGCTCCATTTGAACAGGACTGCTTGAGAAGGGAACAAAGGCCCCACAGAACTGTCCTTGCAAAGTGAAGAGGGAGGAGCATCTCTCACTGGTTGAATGGTGACCCAGAAGGCTGCATTAACTTGGTACTACCACACAAAGCTGGGGACATTTGATACTGCAGACCAAAGGGGTCCTGTCCTCAGCTGTCATCCATCAGATGATAGAGGAGGTGGCATATGGATTCCTCAGCTCACTGTCCCGAACCTTCTGTGGCATACATACGCTGTTCCCTGGCAAAACAAAGCAAAACACAGCTGTTTGTCCACACAGAAATTTATGTCTTGATAGAAAAGGATCTAAATCATTCATAGTGGTAATGGCTGTAAGGGTGGAACTATCTGGCTAAGCGCCAGGAGAACCCAGGTTATAGACAAATATTGCTGGCCTGGGTGGCCACAGCCACTAGCAGAATGTCAGCTCAAGACTAGGAGCAGACCCCTGGGCCCTAGTGTCCATGAGAAAATCTACATGTATGTGCAACACAGCAGCAAGCCAAGAGAACCTCACGCACGTCCCTTCCCAACCACCTTTCCTGGAGACAGCTGGCCAGGGAAGACCTGTGTCAGGGGACAAGCAGAGCAGCCTACTCACCAACATGTCCTGCAAGGGACAGACTGCAGTAGGGGGAACCCAGAGCAGAATCAAAAGGCCAGCTTTAGGAGGCTGGTGCTCTCAAGTCCCTACATGTGCCCAATGAGCCCAGCTCAAGGTTGCACAGAGTAGGGATAGGGTAACTCTTCTTTCTCACCTATGTGACCAACAGAAGCTCCCTCCAAAAACAAATCCTAAAATACCTACAATCATACAATACCCTAGAAAACGGAATGGGAAGGAGCTCCCAGTATCTACAAGTTAGCTTTACTTTGGTCCTACAGTAACCACAACAAGAAATGGTAACACAAACAGCCCACTCTTGGCATGCATCAGCCCAACAGTGCCCCAGGATTAACTGACCCAAAGCTGGTGTCCCCTGCTCTGAGGACCTCTTAGCTGCTGTGTGGGGAGGTTCCACTGGTCTTTTTCCCCCAGAGTAATTTCAAAAGGGAAACTGCAGTGCAGCTGGTCTGAGCTGGGATCTGACCAGACAGGCCAGCATTTCCTAAAGAGAAGGGTGGGAAATGTGGCAATCTCCCTCCTCCCTAAGGAAGGCTACTCTCTAATTTGCAGTGAGGGGTAGAGATGAAGTAGCTGGGACATGGGGTGAGCCAGATGGGCCGACAGCCACATGTACTTGGCTCAATCAGAGTTGTGTATGGGGAGGGCCCTGGCACGTGTCAGATGCCAAAAGTCAAAATGGCTGGAAAATTAAGTAGGTCTTCTGAGGTGTTGGAAGCACCAGTCCTTGTCTCCACTGGTGAAGTCCTGGTAAAGAGCCACTGGAGCAGAGGACAGCAGAGACCCCACTCCTGCTGTCAGAAGGCAATCCGCCAGGTTTATTTATTCCTATGCAACATAACCCCAGAACACAGGAGCAACTCTGCAGGACTCTAGAAACTCACAGCTAGCTCCACACAACAGAAATTTAAACTACAAAAGATGAGTTGTATTCAGCAAATATAAAGGGTAACTTTAGGCTATGTTGAACATCTCTCAGACTATTTACAGTGCCAGGACAGGGGCTCAGATCTCGCCGGCCTCCTTCTCCTCTGACTTCCTTGAAGTGGCCTTCCCATTGGAGCTCTCCAGCCTCCAGTCAGTGGACCCTCGCTCACTGCGCCCGTACTCCCAGGACTCCTCTCTCGACATGCGCTCTCTGGAGAACCTAGGAAAGGGGAACCAGAGGCTCAGTGAAGACGACTTCCATTCTGGGCAGCTGCTCAAGAACCAACAATGTGAACCCTCAACACCGGTCCAGGGCATGCCCCACCACACCCCAAGGTGGCATGCAATCTCATTCTCAACCCACTACACAGGGAATGACAGAAAGCCATTAAAAAGTGATGTTTGCAAAGACTTTCAGTAAGAAAAACCGACACTATAACATAAACCAAAAAAAGGAGAATACAACAAAATTGTACATATAGCATATGATCCATTATGTAAAAATACAATGGAAAAATCCCAAAGAGGTAAGCAAGTCCTGGTCAGGACATACATCTTGGCTGCTCTGTGCATTAAGTGACTGCACCTAAGCCCCTACAGCACCACCTAGAGGTCCTTGAAAGCTCCTTCACAGCCTTCTCCAGTTCCAAGCCAAGTCCTGCTCACCACAGCCCAATGCCCCAACATTCTGCCAATGATGACAGGCTAGGCTCTCCCCAAGCCCAGCTCTGTCTCTACCAGATCCAGGCAAAGGGCCGGGCTAACATCCCTAGCAGACCCTGGGAACAAAAAGGGGTTCACTCTTGCCTGCAGCTACAGAAGGAGTCAGATAGTTACTTGTATTTTGCACTCTGGTCCCTGGAAGGCCGGCGGTGTCCCCGGCTGTGGCTCCGGGAACGGCTGCGGTGGCGCCGGTGTCTATCTCTGTCTCGGGAACGGGAACGGGAAGACTTCCGTCGCTCTCGGGAGGTAGATCTTGATCGCCTCCGACGACGATCTCGGGAGCGCGACCTGGAAAAACCAGAAGGCTGTAGGCAGAAACTACAGAAGCCAGACATAAGGACATACCCCAATGCTCACCCTCTCTCAGCAGGTTCTGTCATGTCCCCTCTTTCCTCCCACAAATTTACAGCTTAGGCTTAAACTATTCTGAGTTAATCTGATGGCCAGACTGTTCCCATGAATGATGCCTACCAAAGCCTGGCCCTTGGCATTCCTGGCTGGCTTGCAGTCCATCCATCTAACGTGAGGAGTCCTTCCCCTATGTTAAGCTCCAACCAACGGCTGGGTTCTGTGCCCTTCACAATTCAGCCTTGACTAACAGATAAGGTTGTACAGCTGTAAACTTCAAGTATTAAGAAACATGCTTGTGGAAAAGTTTTGGACCGAGAACTCTAATGGATCTGGAAGCCTACCTCCTGCGATCTCTGGTTCTTGATCCAGACCTGAAAAGGAAAAAGACCTGTTATTTTCTGGCTGCTTGACTGTTTTTGGTCTGCAGCAGGAAGTGCTACACCTTCTGCAATGCTATACCTGTTCTGTGGCTCCCTCACTCAATAGCACCTGAGTAGCATCTGAAGGATGTAACTGTGCAAGCTGATGGGAACTGGACCTGTCTATCTGCACATGTTGAGGGTGAACAGTGTCACACTCAGCCCAACATTGGACTACCAAATCTTTGTGGTGGACTGTTACAGTTTATAGGTAGATGGTCCCCTAAAGTCTCATGCTCTTATAGGTGGAATTTTGGGAGGTGATTGAACAATGAGGGCATGACACTTATCAATGGATTAGTTCACTGATGAGTTTACAGGTAAATGTGTTGGGAGGTAAAGACTGGTCTGAGGAGGTGGGTCATTGGGGGGGGGGCGTGGAGGGGCATACACAGGTCTCTCTCTCTCTCGATCCTTCTCTCTGCTTCCTGGCATCATACTATGAGCTTTTTCCCTTCTGCCACCCTGCCTTGGAGCCAGACACCTATGGATGGAAACCTCTACAAACTGTGAGGCAAAATAAACCTTTCCTTCTTAGAGTTGTGGGTATTGGGTATTGTGTCTCAGTGACAAGAAAGTAACTAATAACTAAGATATAGACACTAGCACAAAGGTGCAGTTATAGAATAGAGGCAGGATTGGGCAGAACTCTCCATGCACCAAAGTTCCCAGACAAAGGCTTACTGGCAGGCAAGAGTCAAATGCGCTCCTTCTGTTACACAATCAACAAGTGGAAATATGCATGTCACAAGGTCTCATGTGACGTTCATTCTAGAAGCACCACACAGTCATTACAGACAAGTGGTGCCACAGATGCCTGCAAATGCTGAGGCCTAAACATGACTTGCACAGACAGGCCCAACCACAACAGTGACCATTACTTCTGTCTAAAAGGAACAACACGTCTTACTGAGCACATTTTTTGACCACTTGAGCTTCTTCACAATCAAGAGTATATTGTAATTACAACACGAAAGGAAAAAAAATACAGCAAGCACTTGTCTTTTCTGAACGATACATCAAGGAATTCCTTCAGAAAAGCAATTTTTTGGTTTTTTTGAGACAGGGTCTCACTATGTAGTCCAGGCTGACCTTGAACTACGTAGCCCAGGCTAGGCTCAAAATCTTGGCGATCCCCCTACCTCAGCCTCCTAAGTGCTTGGATTACAGGTATACACTACCACATCCAGTCAGGAAAGCAGTTTTTGGAGCTTTCAAGGGCAATGAACCATGCCCTTCAGGGGAGATTGGTTAATTCTGGCTCTGACCTCTTCTTTGAATTCCAATGAAATGTAACATCTCTACTTGGGTCTCTCTCAAGCATCTTAAATGGAAGTGAATTCTATCCCCACACTCTTGCTCTATCTTTCCCACCCAGTGAGTAGCAACCCTGGGTAAAAAACCAAGAGGCCAGGTTCCTTCTTTCTTCACACACCTCACACAGCTAAAAAGCAACTCCTATCAATTTGTCCCTACACCACACAGACTTTTGCCCCTAATCTGATTAAACCACCCCCTCCTACACTTGGACCCTTTCAACCAGCTCCTCAACGGTCTTAACTGCTCCACCCCAACACAATGCACTCTGATCTCCAAAGGGCAGCAGTGCGTCCTGTCAGCAGATCCCACCTCTCCTCTGTAAGAAGTTGTGGCCCGGGGCTGGGGATTTAGCTTAGTGGTTTCGCCACCTGCTACGCCTGCTGGGCAAGCCCAAGGACCCGAGTTCAATCCCCGGGTCCAAAAAAAAAAAAAGAAAGAAGTTGTGGCCCTACATCATACAGTAAACACCAGAGCCCTGCATAGCCTAACACTCAACCCAAAGCTCTCCTGTGATGGATTTTCCTCATAGCATGTGTTACCCACCACAAGACAGCACACTGGGGTGCCAGGGAATCAGTTCAGGGCTTCCCTATCTGCTGAAGGCTCTGTGCCCAGTGGTCAGTGGAGCAGGTTCTGTGGGATGAAGGAGGACCCTCTCCTCAGCTTTGCCCCCTCTCTCTTTTAGTGGGAACACACAGATCCTGAACTGGCCCATGCCTCTCTAGACTAAATATGCTGCACGTTTTTATTTTTCTTTTAATGGTTATGTCAGTCTTTGACAGACCTTGACTACTCCAAGCAACACTGCAACAATGGAGAAAGGCCCTCCTGAGGCCTGAGGGCCACTGGCCTATGGCCCTCCCATGCTCACCTCCTACTCAGCCACTCCTCCCGCTCTCTCTCCTCTCTTCTCCTCAGGCGATCCTGATTTCTCTTCTCCTGCTTTTCAGCCACAGTTTTCTAAATAAATGAAAAATGGGACAATGAGAGAAAAGTAAGAGAAGCTCTTAAGAACAGTAATACATTTATTTTACATCTTATAAATCCAGTGGCAAATTGCATATTCTAAGTGCTGAACTCCTTTATGTTTTTTGAAACAGGGTCTCAATGTGCAGCTCAGGCTGCCCTCAAACTTACAGTGATCCTTCTGCTTCAACCTCCCATGTGCAGGGATCACAGGTACATACTGCCAAGCCTGACAAGGTGCTAAGTTTCTAAGTCACAGGGTATTGGTCATATTGTTTCAAACTAAGCCAGAAAATTTTTACCCAAAGGTATCTCCATAACGACCATGAAGAAACAGAACTGAAATGTCTAACAAAGACATTCTGGCTATCATAGCTTTCCGAGACAGCTCACACTTTTTCCCAGACACAGTGTGTACTTTTATCTTTGCTCTCACTCTTTTTCTATTTACTCAGCCCAAGCACCCTCTGCAGTACCAGTTTCTCTCCCACTCCTCACTTTTACTTTCTCAAATAAACTTTGCCACTGCTTTTTGAAGGAAAAAAAAACAAGCACATCCTGCTGCTGGGAAGGAGCTCCTGGTGTCAAGAAGTGGCCCTTCCTCCTTGGCACATCTCACATACCTTAATCCTAGCACTGGGAAGGCTGAGAAGCAGGAGGACTGACACAAATTTGAGATCAGCCAGGGCTACATACTGAATTCAAGCCCAGCTTAAACTACAAAGTTAAGACCAGCCTCCCCCCCCCAAAAAAAGAAAAAAAGTGACCTATCCTCAGGTGCTGGGTTCTGTGTTGGGTTGAGACCAACTGTTCTAGGTGCCACACCCGTGAGCCCTCTGTACCTGGCTTCTAACACTATCAGACTCAATTCATCAGGTTTGATCATAAATGTAACAGAAGAGGCTCTGAGAAACCACTGCTATAACCCAACAGTACAAAAAAAAAATCCCAGATATCACTCTGTATCTCTACCTTCTAAACCAACTCAAAGCCCTTTAATACCTCTCTAATCACTCTGTTAAGTGAAATGAAACCCCGAGTAGAAGTCAGAGCCAGTGAGACAAAAGGTTACCAGTCTTCTCTGCTTAGAGAGAGAGCTATATTGCCATGAAGATCTTCCACACCCAGCATGGATTACAGCCAGCTCCTTCCAGATGAGGGGGCACAGCAAAGACCAAGAGAAGTCCAAGCTACTACCTGTGATTATACGCATCCTTCATCTGAGCGAGGTGCACAGGGATGGATCAGCTTAAGGGCAGAAGTGTTAACATCCCATCTTTCACACATATCCATTCCTGAAGCAGATCTGGCTGAGAACAGGCCAGTGATCTGGCACCATCTCCTTTCCAATCTACCTCCTACCTCATCAGCAAAAGCTCACTTTTGCCCACAAAGGTATTAACAACTGTGGGACTATTTGACAAAGGGGATTCTAATTAAGAGGCCTCTAAGAACGCTCACCTCTCTCATCATTAAGAAACCCACTTCCAGGGCCGGGGATTTAGCTCAGTGGTGCTGCTGCCTGCCTTGTAAGCACAAGGTCCCAAGTTCAATCCCTGGTACCAAAAAATAAAATAAAAATAGAAACCCACTTCCACAGCCGCCTGCCTCAAAAGCGCAAGGACCTGAGTTCGATCCCTAGTACCAAAAAAAAGAGAAGAAATCCACTTCCAGATACAAATTTATGTTGTTAATTTAATATTTGTCAAAATTTCTAACGTTTGTGTTTTTTTGGTCAACTGTACATTGTTCCTAGTTACAACATTTATAAAAAAAAAACGTGCTTTCTAGACCAAGTTCTTCTGGCCATAGAAAAAAATTTCAATTTATTCATTTTTCTGATGCAAAAATACACTTTAAAAAAATTGCCGGGGATTTAGCTCAGTGGTTTCGCCGCCTGCCGCGCAAGCGCGCAAGCGCAAGGACCCAAGTTCGATCCCTGGTACCAAAAAAAAAAAAAAAGTTGCTAGAGTTTGTTGACAGAGCTGTCCACTTGGAAAGGGGAATTGCTAAAACCCTTGTCCCTGAGCCTCCCTTGGCCAGGAACTTAGCTCAGTGGTGCTGTTACCTGCCTTGCAAGCGCAAGGTCCTGAGTTTGATTCCTGGTACCGCAAAAAAAAAAAAAAATTAAAACTTTTAGGTATAAAAAAAATTACATTGGGCCAGGGATTTAGCTCAGTGGTTCTGCCGCCTGCCTCGCAAGCACAAGGACCCGAGTTCGATCCCCAGTACTAAAACAAAACAACAAAAAATTACATTAAAAAAAAAAATTACATTAAGACAAACTATGGCAAAAAGAAGTGGAACTCAATCATCAAATGCAATTATATGTACAGATGTCAACTGTGGCCCTCACCAGACCACACACATGCACATCCCATAACTAGACATCCCCTGATCACAATCTCATCTCTCCCAGGGTGAGGCAATTTTAAGAGGCGAGCGTTCTTAGAGGCCTCACCCATAAAAGGGGAATTTGGAAACTTTCTTGGTTTTCCTAAATGCCCTAAATGCTTATTTTATATTTTCATAGTCTTTCCTTTGAATTCCATTTGGGAGCAGCGCTCCATAAACTTTGGGGGTTGGGGGGCCTATAATCTGGTTCTGATAGTAGTGAGTGTATCTTTTTTTCAAAATTCTACTGGAGGGCCAGGGATTTAGCTCAGTGGCCCTGCGCCTGCCTCAAAAGCGCAAGGTCCAGAGTTCGATCCCTGGTATCAAGAAAAAAAAAATTCTATTGGAAAGGCAGAAGCAAAATGCGCTACTCCAGCTCAGGCTCCTCCTTCCAATATCACATGTTACTTGGGGGACTCCTCCTTGCTTGCAGAGTCCTGGCATCTGCTGAGGAGCAGCTCTTTCCTGGAGGCACAAGGCCCAGCACTTAATGAGGTCTTGATTATTCCAACACTCACTCTATGGTCAAGGTGCCACAAGTCTGTCCTCCTTATCACATCTGAGATATATGGAGGGAAGGCTGACTGCCTACAGCCTATCACAGGGTCCTCATACGCAATGCATAATGGGGAGGCTCTGTCAGTATGAAGAATGACAATTCAAAGTATCAGTGACATGTTAGCCTTCCTTCTTAGCATTCTGTACTTAATATTTTAAAAATTCAGAAAAATGAAGACCCTCGAGGAAGGAACTGAGGCTGTCTGAGCAAGGGTGATGCAGTGCTATCAGAAAAACCCCATCACCTCCTTCTTCCCGAGGAAACTCAAAGTCAAGCGGGCAAGTTGTGTGATCTTCTGTCAGGCCTAATAACATAGAGCTGTCCACATCCTGGGACTGGGCGTCACCATTTCCCTCTGTAGGGGGAAATTTGTCTCCAAAGTAGATAAATTTCCAAGACTTCTTTGGGTTTTGAGATCTCCTGTCTGTTTTGTGAACTCAAGCGATAAAGCCTGAGGATGTCACTATAAAACTCATGGAGTATTTCACTATAAAAGTTCATGGAATGAATCAGGAGACAAGGGTTTTTTGTTGTTGTGTGGAACTGGGAATTGAATTCAGGGCTCTCACATTGAACTACAGCCCTAGCCTTTTTTTTTTTTTTCCTGTCTCTCCTTCCTTCTTTTCTTGTTTTTTTTCAGACAGGGTCTCACTATGTGTAGCTCAGGCTGGCCTTGAATTCAAAGCAATCCTCTTGCCCCAGCCTCCTTTACAAGCATATGCCACCACAGCCAGCTAGCCCTTTTAAAAAAATATTTTGAGACAGGGTCTAAGTTGGCCAGGCTGAGACTGAACTTGCAATCCTTGTGCCTCAGCCTCTTAAGAGTACGGGAATATTGGCATGCATCTCCTCGCCTGGTACAGGCTTTTTAAAATTAAAAAAACGTTGCCTCAGGGATATAGCTCAGCAGCACCATGCCTGCCTGGCAAGTGCAAGGTCCTGAGTTTGATCCCCGGTAACAAAAACAAAAAAATTTAAAAAATCTGAAGACCACAAAACGCCTCAGGCTTCTCCAGGAATACATTAACTTACCCTTAACTGATCAAGCTTCTCTCGGATCTGAATGAACCCCAAGTGTAACTTGCCCCCAAAGTGGTCTGCCAGACGGCGGTCATTGTCATGAAGACCAAGGTAGGCTGAGCAGACCTCACAGACACGCAGTTTTTGCTGCTGAAAACTGGATGCCGGCATAGAATTTCTATATTCTTCCTGGAAAAGGGGAAAGAAGAGATATAGGTGAAGTTTACAGAACTGCCATCAATGCATCAACCTCCAAAATAGAAATACTTGATGTGACATAAGTTTATGTGGCACTGGGAATTGAACCTAGTGGTGCTCCACCACTTACATCCCCAGGTTTTTCAAAAATTTTGATACAAGATCTCACTATTCTGCCCAGGCTGGACTTGAACTTCAGATCTTTCTGCCTCCATCTCCCAAATTGCTGGAATTATAGCCATGTGCTACCATGCCCAGCTACAGATGAATTTTATTTTTGTTTTCATTTGAAACAAGGTCTCACTATGTAGTTCAGGCTGGCCTCGAACTCACTATGTAGCCCAGGCTGGTCTTGAACTCATGGTGATCCTCCTGCCTCAGGCTGCCGAATGCTGGGATTACAGGTGTCCACCACCATAGCTGGCATACTTCTTAAAACTAAATGTGAATCTATAATTATTTCAAAATAGAAAGTATAATTAAAAATATAGTAGGTTGGGCTGGGGATTTAGCTCAGTGGTTCTGCCACCTGCCTTGCAAGTGGAAGGTCCCGAGTTTGATCCCCGGTACTACACACACACAGAAAAAATACACTATGTCTGGCAACATAGTTCATTGTTAGAGCACTTGCCTAGAGGCCCTAGGTTCCATCCCCAGCACTATATGAAAAAAGTAAAAATAAATTGTCAAATAATTCCTGAAAACCTGCTGCATGCCACTGTCAAGGATTACCTGTTTTTTCAAATGACAAAGTATATAAAACTGCAGTTTCTAAGCCTCTCCTGGCAAAAGAAAGAAACCTTAAGACTAGTGAACATCTTGTCTGCTACTGAAAACGGAAAGGATTCCAGAGATGCTGAATCACTACAAAAATCAGCACTGCTTAAATCCCACCCACCCAAAGGCCTCATCCCACATCATCCTGGTCTTGCCCCAGTGATTCTGTAGAAGCAGTACTGTACCTCCTAGGCATTACTTTCATAGTAACGAGGGGAAACAGGAGGAGGGGTGAGGATACCTAGAATCCTAGGCATGGCTGGCCACACATCCTTCTCTGCTTTCCTCTCAACTACAGCCATCCACATGGGTGGTAAAGCCAAATCTAGTTCCATTAGCCAATGAATAATTCTCTGAGCCTTGGAGGATTTGTGGTGTCTATGCACTTTGAGCAGGAAGGGCCAGGGCTTGGGGTATACCATGAGGATGCAAAGTTTCCCTCTTGTCTCTGGCAGAAGCATCAGTAGCCCAATGAGCTACTGAGACTCTGCTGTAAATACAAACACAGAGCTGTTGGCAGGGTTTACATTTGCACCAAATTTCCCAGAAAGAAAATTACCCTCTAAACCAGGGAAAGCCTATTTAGAACTTTACCAAGTTTACTGGTCATAGTTTGGGAAGTCATACCACCATGCCAATGCAACCCAATGTATCTAAGTCACAATACCACGCTGCTTCTATGCAAAGTGCAGTGTGAGCATGAGTCCCACTGTCCTTTAGTATGACCATATTTAAGCACTTATATAGAAATGCAACGTATTTGTGTTGTCAATCTTTTGTCTGTCCTTCAAAGAGTAAGATCATAGAGAATCTATTGTCTAGGAATGTAACTGAAGGTAGATGTCAGTCTAACCTGCTGGGCCTGCCTAACACTGCCAACCTCAGTCCCAGCCACAGCTTGAAACTGTGGAAAGTATAGCTCTGATGATCACATCCTGAGTAACCTTACTGCTTTCTCTCCTTACCTGTACTGTTCTAATTCCTGGAAGTCCTTGGTACCCCTGAGTAAATTATAACTGAGTATCTACTATGTATGATGTACCACACAGAGCCAGGGGCATACTGATAACCCAAACCAGGCCTGCTCTAGGGCACATACACGCCATCTCATCTGTCCTCTACCATTTTAACAGGTAGAATTGTAGTTTGTAGGTCCTCCTCAGTTTACAGTCTCAGCTACAGGGCTTTCCAGGATCATTCTATCTTACCTAGAGACTGACCTCAACCCAAAGTAACTCTTACACTCAGACCCACTTCTTTTGTACACCTACCTTCATCAGAATGAACAGGTGGAACACAGAAGATTTTTAGGGGAAAGTGAAACTACTCTGATGATATTACAATGGGGGAAACAGGTCATTCCCAAACTCATGGAATGCACGCTAAGAGTGAAGCCCGGGGCCAGGGATTTAGCTGGGCCAGGGATTTAGCTCAGTGGCACCATGCCTGCCTCACAAGTTCAAGGTCCTGAGTTCAATCCCTGGTACAAAAAAAAAAGAAGCCCAATATAAATTATGAACCTTAGGGTGATAATCACGTGTCAATATAAGTCCAACAGTAACAAACTACTCTGGTGGGGGATTTTGATAGTGGGAGAGGGTGTGTAGGGAGATGAAAAGGACAGATCTGAAATCTCTGTACCTTTCCATATTTTCTGTGAACTCAAAACTTCTCTGAATAACATTTACTGGGCTGGGGATTTAGCTCAGTGGCACATCACGCCTGCCTGGCAAATGCAAGGTCCTGAGTTCCATCCCTGGTACCAGGAAAAAATAAATAAATTTATTTTTAAAAAGTACAGGCATGCCTTAAAATTAGTCAAAATGGTCAACTCTATCAAATTACTAACATTTCCCTCTTCCTAAAACACGTCATCCACCGACCTCGGCTTCTTTTTTCTTTGCACGAACTTTCTCCACTTCCATAAGAATCTTCTGAGATTCATCAACATTTCCTTCAGCTCCTAGTTGCTCAGCTTTTGCAAGTAGTTTTCCTATTTCTTCATTCAACTCATGTACTTTTTCTGCCTGAAGGGAGAAAGAATAAGGTAAGCAAACACCTAAGAACAGGATTTGGAAAGCAAAGGAATCAAGTATTTTTCTTGCAGCATTTCTTTAGCTCTGATAAGAAAACCCAAAAAGAGACTTGTTTCCACTGAAGAGGAAGGTCAGACAGTTGAACTCACACTCAGGACAGACCCCTAGAGAACTCCCTCCTTCTTCAGTCCACTAGTAAATGTACTAGTTTAACCATTTCCCTACTAATTTTTTCTTGTTTTCAGTTTTATATGGGTTGTTTAAAAAACAAAGTTAAAAAAATACATATTTGGGGTTGGGGGTATGTGGTGGCATATCCCTACAATTCTAGCACTTAGGGAGGCTGAAGCAAGGAGTACTACAAGTACTGCCTGGGCAACTTAGCAAGACCATGTCTGAAAATAACAAAGATAAATAAATAAAAAAGATTAGGATGTAGCCCAGTACTGCATGGGGAGGAGGGGCAATGAATGTTTAGAGGGGGAAAAGGGATATGAAAGAAAGGACAGAGACAGCAGCTCCTAGAGCCTGAAATGATATGTGACTGTTTGGTCACAGCTTTCCATCCTTACCAGGGAACAACAGCCAAGGCAGCATATGCCATCTAACCCAGAATCATCCCATCAGTGCTGGCGGAGAGTTAACATCCATCAGCATAGCCAATATTTACACAGACTTATACCAAAGCCACCAGACATACCTTTGCAGAAACTTCTGCACTGATTTCCTCCTGTGTTTCTGCCAGTCGCTTCTTGGCAAGCTCAGTTCTCCGATCACACTCTGCAATAAAGGACTCCAAGTGATCCATCGCCTAGCTCAGAAAAAAGCAAGCGTTATGATAGTTATAATCAGTGATAAAGGCCCTTGGAGTCTACTTATGTAATAGGAATGTATGCCTAGATTAGTTTCTTAATGTCTGAAGGGTCAATGGCAGTTAACATTCATAATCATACTAAATTAAGGCATTTTTGTAAATCAAATGATTGGGAAAAACACGGTCTTCTTATCTGATTTAGTTGTGTATTTCTTGTAAAAAGACCTCCAACCCCCTGTAACACTGCCAAAAGCCGTAACAGTTCTCTGAGGACAGAAAAGGCTGAACACAGATCAGTGTTAGATATTTTGAAGAGCTGTGGGAGATGTGCATGCTGCACCCACCAGTCCTTGTAAGCTGGCTAAATATTCTTCCCTCATGTACTGAGGGTAGAGTTCCATCTTCTATCTAAAAAATGAAACAACGAGCTGGGTGCAGTGGTGCATGCCTGTAATCCTAGATACTTGGGAGGCTAAGATAAGAGGATCCCAAGTTCCAGAACAGCCTTGGCAACTTAGGAAGACTCTGTCTCCAAAAAAAAAAAGAAAGAAAAAAATATATAACTGAGAACTGCAAGATTCATTACTGCCTACTGTCTAAAGTATATGCTAAGCTGGGCATGGTGCAGCATGCCTGAAATCCTAGCACTTGGAAGGCTTAAGGCAGGAGAATCACCATGAGTTGGAGAGGGGGAAAAGGGATATGTAGCCTGGGCTACATGGTGAGGTCAAGGTCAGCTTGAACTGCACAGCAAGACCCTGTCTCAAAACAAAACAAAACCAATTATCAGTTAATCATTAGTCAATAACAAGCATCTCCTATATTATACCATGAGTTAGCTAGCTAATAGTGGCATGTGTTAAAATACCACAGTAAGTATTTGGCACTGATGACAGTGATCTATTACCAAAAAATTAAGGAAAGAAAATTTGGGGTGAAGATGACAGGACAACAGACCAAGGAGTAATTTACATCCTCCCTTCTAAAATGGACAGCAGAGGGCAGCAGCGCCACACCTGCCTGGCAAGCACAAAGTCCTGAGTTCAATTCCTGGTACCAGGAAAAAAACAAGATTAGAATGGACGGCAGAGAGTAGGCTAGCTGTTGGAAGATGCTCCAGAGATCAGTGTCACTCTTAACTGATCAGAGGGACACTGGACAGGGTTAGAATCCTCTCAGAAATCTTAAGTATTTTCTTCAAATAAGCACACATTTGAGAGTAGCTCCAGATGAGGAAATAGGCTCCCTCATGGTGCCCAATCTCCCAGGAACTAGTAAAAGCAAAGCATCCTAACTCCCGAGTCTGACTACCAGATGTCACTGTATAATCACAGAGGCCAAAACTCCTGTCAGTGGTCACCCAAATACTCTGATAAACATTTCAGTATATCAAGCAAAACAATGAGGAAAGCAAATTGTCTGGTCTGTGTTTGCTAATATACACTTGCACACTACTTCTCCCAAAGAAGCTCACTGGGGATGTAGCTCAGTGGTACCGTGCCTGCATCCCCCAAAGATGAAACATGGGTCACCTATGTTTATCTCAGATAGTTCCTAGCACATGAGCCTAAGGTGACCCAGGCTCACCCAGGCAGTGCTCCTCTACTGTCCCCTAGGCAAGGCATGGTGTACAGGAGGCAGACCTAGAATCTACTCAGAGGGTCAAGTGGAGCACACGTGACAACCCTACCAGTGCTTTCACCTACCTACCAAAGCCATCTTAAGCAAAATCACAGTATGGACTCAGATGTTAGAAAACCTAAAACTAAGTAAACACAGCAGACAACAAGAAAACCAAAGGACTTACAACCTACACTATAAAATAGATCTCTGGGTGAGGGTGGGCCGAGTAACAGAAAAAGCAAAATAAAAGTATACCCTGGAGGACACAGAGCAGGCTGTCGTGAGGAAAGTCACAATAGCCACAAATCCTTTTTTTTAGTACCTTTTTCAAAAATTAATTTTCAAAAACTTAAGCTGGGCATGGTGGTGCACAGCTGTAATCCCAGCATGTGGGACACTGAAGCAGGGGAGTTGCAAGTTCAAGGCCAGCCTGGAATCTGTCTCCAAAAAAAAATCTCAAAAACCAAAATGGTTTGTGCTGCTTTTCAAAGATGATTATAGGACAGCCCACTTATACCAAGTGAAATACATGAAAAGTAAAGTTCTGTAATAATAAAGGATTCTGTATTCCAGTAAAAAAAAATAGATCTCTGGGCTTAAAAAAAATTGTTTTTTGAGACAGGATCTTGCTATGTAGTTCAGGCTGGCCTCAAACTCATGGCAATCCTCCTACTTCAGCCTCCCAAGTGCTGGAATTACAGGTATATGCCACCATGCTTGGCTCTATTCTATTATTACTTTCTCTCTCTTCAAACTGTTTTGATTGCAAACAGCTCTCTGAAGAGTAAATTTAAATGATTTAAAAGAAAAAAAAGACATTTAAGTCCAAAAAGCAGATCATAATCATAATCTACCACTTACTAGAAAGTCACCCAATAAATGTAACTGTCTCTAGGGTAGTGTGATGAAACACAAACTGCTAAAAGCATCCGAGCACACACCAGATCTGCACAAGCCACATACCTAACCTTCCCTTCCGCCACAAAGTTAGGACCTGTCAAGGCCTAGAAGGCAGAATAAATAAATAAATAAACAAATAGAACATGTAATTTAAGTAAATCTTAAATCTTGGTCCTCTTTTTAATAGCAAAAAAATCTACTTAATTGTGGTTTTAATTCTTTTTTCTTTTTTAGCTCAGTACTGAGGAATGAACCTAGGGCCTCACATATCCTAGACAAGCAATCTACCACTGGAGCTATAGCCCTCCTCTTCCCATGTTATTTTAAGACAGGGTCTCACTACCTCAAACTTGTGGTATAGGAGTAGTCTGGAAATACTCTCTGGGCATATCCAAGTGTACAAGTCAGGTATGTTCCCAGAACTGAGACTGCTGGGATGGTGAATAACTCAGGAGGCCATCAGGGCCACTTAATTCTCTTCCTCTTTAGTTCTAAATCAGGGTAAACACCTGCCACAAGTCTACTAGGAAATGGAATTTCTTTTCTTTTGCCATATTGGAGAATAAGTCTAGGGTCTTGCACTGAATTACATTTCCAGTCCTTTTTATTTTATTTTGAAAGTCTACTAATCACCAAGGTGGGCCTCAAACTCCCGATCCTACAGCCTCAGCTTCCCAAGGATGTGGAATCACAGGCATACACCACAGTGTTCACCTTAGAAATGTCCTTTCTTCACATGATGTGGTGAGGCACACCTGTAATCCCAGTACTCAGGAGAGGCTGAGGCATGAGGATCTCAGCAAGGTGGAAGTCAGGCTGAGCTACTTAGTGAGTTCAAGCCCAGCCTGGACCACATAGTGAGATCCTGTTTCAAAAAATCAACAATCATAAATGTTCTTCCCTCATTTTTTTTCTATTGAGCTACTGATGATGTTCTTATGTTTTGTTTTTTAGTTGAGATATTGTTCTTATCCAAAACAATTATATATGGGAAGGAATTTTATATGGGAAGGAAACTAGCCCATCCATATCCTCATGTGTTCTAAAAATAACTTGTCCCAGTTTACCACTTATTTTACATATGTATTTTTTTAATCTAGATTTTTTTTCCCTCTAAGACAGAGTCTATGTGGCCCAGGCTGGCCTCAAACTTGTGATCTTCCTGCTTCAATCTCCTGAGTACTAAGTTTATCTAGTTTGTTAAAAAGTGCAAATGAATAAAAATCATGCATATTTAACATACACAACTTGATATTTTAGGGAGGGAGGTGGTACTGGTAGATTGAACCCAGGCCTTCACACTGAGCCTTCCTGGCTTTTTTTTGAGATGGTTGATAAACTGTTCAGGCTGAGCTGAAACTTGCAATTCTCCTACCTCAGCCTCACAGAGTGGTAGGATTACAGACCTCCAGCTGACTGATGCTATTCTGGTGATCACTTCCCTGTATACAAATATCAAAACATTCAAGTGTAGCATCAGCCTATAATCACAGCACCCTGGGAGGCAGGAAGATCCCAAATTCAACCAGGGCAGGGCTGAGGATTTAGCTCAGTGGTTCCGCCGCCTACTGCGCAAGCGCAAGGACCAGAGTTCGATCGCTGGTACCAAAAAAAAAAAAGGCCTGGGGATGTTACTCAGTGCAAAGGGCTTGGGTTCAATTCCCAGTACCACAAAAAAACAAAAACAAAAGCCCTAAAAACATACTCTGCAATGTGTGTATACTTATACTCGATTTTCTTTCTTTTTTTGGTGCCAGGAATCAAACTCAGGACCTTGTTCTTGCCAGGCAGACACAGTACTTCTGAGCTACATCCCCACCTCTAAAATGTATAATAGATATTTGGAAATGGGAAAAAAAAAAGTTCAATTAAGGAGAACAAGGGAGGGGGAAGAAAGGAGGGGGAAAGGAAGGGACAAGAAAAAAAGTGAAAATAGAAGAAAAAAATGGAAACAAAGCTTTTTTTTTTTTTTTTGGTACCAGGGATCAAACTCGGGTCCTTGTGCTTGCACAGGAGGCGGCGAAACCACTGAGCTAAATCCCCAGCCAAAGCTTTTGTATATAGGAAGAGGAAGGGTGTTGAGGAGGGGGGAATAGGGGGAAAAAAAAAAAAAAAGAGACCTGATATATCAAGTACAGGTGCAAATTCCCTGTGATGAGTGTTATCATTATGTATATCTAAAATGCACCAATAAATGTTTTGTTTAAAAATAAATGTTCCTAACATTGTTCATAATAGCAGAAAAACTAGAATGAATTCACATCTATGAATAAAGGATAGTTTGTGACATATTCAAGCAGCAATGAAAACAAACAGTACTGGGGCTGTAGCTCAATGACAAAACACTTTCCTAGTATACAAAAGGTCCTGGGTTCTGGCACTGTATACACACAAACACACACACACACTACACTGCAATAAAATGAGTAAACCATATATTGAACAAAAACAAGATGTTAAGATTATCTGTATTGTGAAACCATTTTTATAAAGCTTAAAACCAAGCAATCATAAAAAATAGTTTCTTTTTATTTGTTTTTCTGAGACAGGTTCTTGCTATTCCAGGCTGGCCTGGAACTCCAAACAATCCTCCTGCCTCACCCTCCCAAGCGCTAGGATCACAGGCAGGCATCACCAAACCCATCTGCCATGTTTTTAAAAGAAAGTGATAGGGCCAAGGATTTAGCTCAGTGGTTTCGCCGCCTGCTGCGCAAGCGCAAGGACCCGAGCTCGATCCCTGATACTAAAAAAAAAAAAAAAGAAAGAAAGAAAATGATACATGGGATGAGGATTTAGCTCAGTGGCACCACGCCTGCCTCACAAGTGCAAGGTCCTGGGTACGATCCCTGATACCAAAAAATAAAAGAAAATGATACACATAAAATTCAGGACAGTAATGGAATGACAGACACAGATATAAAAAATAGTATTGGCCATATTATAGTGTTCAAAGTGGTGGGGTAACAAATGCCTAATTTATTATTTTACCTCATAACTTATGAACATTACATTATTGTTAGTTTTATCTTTGGTGGTTTGTAGCAGGGATGAATCAACACCAATAAAACTTACATCCAATTCAAAAAACAGGTCTCTTTCTTTACTTGCAATCTCATAATCTGCTCGGAGGGCCAAGTCGTGGATTTTGGTACATTCTCCTAAATCCATGCGCTGCGGGAAACAAAAAATTTACACATGAGCACCTACCCATTATACAAAGCAGGGAACATGACTTGGTATTTCAACCCTGCCCAAAATAAGCAATATACTTTTATGTATATGTACCAATTCCCCACAATAAATGTAATAATTATGTACTGCAAACATGTACTAATAAAATTTTTTTAAAAAGCAATATACTTTTTTGAATACTAAAACTATTTTTTGTTTTGTTTTTTTTTTGGTACTGGGGATTAAACTCAGGACCTGGCACTTGTGAGCCAAGCAGCAGAACCACTGAGCTAAATCCCCAGACCAATACTAAAACTCTTAATATGAAAATTAAGAAACAGAAGCCAGGCCTGGTACCAGGGATCAAATTCAGTAGTTTTTTTCTGGTTTTTTGAGACAGGGTTTCGCTATGTAGTTCAGGCTGGCCTCCTGCCTCAGCCTCCTGATTGCTGGGATTACAGGCGTGCACCAACACACCTGACTTCATTCTAATTTATTAAAAAACACAAACCAGGCCTGGAGATTTAGCTCAGTGGCACTGTGCCTGGCTCGAAAGCACAAGGTCCAGAGTTCAATCCCCAGTACTAGGGGAAAAAAAGGCAACAAAACACACAAACTCCATGTAAAAGCTATCCCCTCACCTCCACCAGAAAACCCAATCCTCATCCTCACTGACCTTCAGCAGCAGGTTTATTCAATCCCTTATTCGTGAAGCACTTTCTTCTCAAGTACATAGCTCTCTGGATTGCCTCCTCCCTTTCAATCTGTTTCCTCTCAAAGTCCACTCCTGAGCTGCCCCTGTGTATCCTGGTCACTGGAATGACCTGCTGAGTCCATGACTTCTCTTCATGAATGTGATTCCATGGCCTCTGCCTCTGTGACCCCACCCCATTCACACAGCCCAGGCACAGTAGCAGCATCCCTCCCATCCTTCTGCTCTTGGCTCTGCCCAGAGCATCATTCCCCTGAATTCCACATGATCCTTTTTTTTTGGTACCAGGGATCAAACTCGGGACCTTGCACTTGGCAAAGCAGGTGGCGGAACCATTGAGCTAAATCCCTGGCCCTCACATGTGATCTTTTCAAGTCTCTGCTCAAATGTCCCCGAGAGACCTTTTCTCATCATTCTACCTATAAACCATCCACAGACCAGGTGTGGTGGTACATGCCTGTAATCCCAGCATTCAGGAGGCTGAGGCATGAGGCCATGAGTTGAAGGCCAGCCTGGGCTGCATAGTGAGTTCAAGGCCAACCTGAACTACAAAGTGAGACCCTGTACCATTCACCTCACCATCCATTTACTTACTGTTCACCCTCTTCCCCACTAGATCAAAGACTTTACTACTGGCCACAGTATCTCCAGTGCCTAGCACAGAGTAAGTATGCAATAAATAAACATTTGTGGGAGTTGCCCTCACACTGATTATTTTTCTTGGTTATATTTCAAAAACATGCTACACAGAATTCTGCCATGGTAAAATGGTTGAACTCCTCACTAGAGTACATGTGCATCTGCTTCCTTTGATTTCTGCCACTATGGATTTGCCAACAATTCTAAATTACCGAAAGAAGGCCCTTATAAGCTAAACTGCTTATGGTGAGTGGAAATCTTTTTTTAATCATTAATGTGTGCTCATCTCAATATCCATGACAACCTGCAGCAAACTGTAATTAACGTTTTCCTATCTCAAATCAAAATGTATCCAGGACATCAAATAACAGAAGTACAGGTCTAGCAAACATTTCATGTCTGTCAGATATGCCATCCTGAAAGACTTAACACATCCAAGCAGTTTTTTAAACGGTGCAGCAGGCATGGTGGCACCTGCCTATAATCCCAGAAACTCAGGAGACGAAGGCCAGAGGATCATGACCTTAAGGCCAGCTTGGGCTATAGAGCCAAATCCTGTCTCTGCCCTCACAAAAGATGTACCCCCTCACATAGTAATAATAAAAGCCATGATTCACCGTGAAAAATGCACATTCACCATTACTGAGAGGACAGCAAATTTGTGTGTGGGGGGGTACTATAGAGATTAAACCTAAGGCTTTCACATAGAGCTAATTTCTCGCCCTTTCAGTATTTTTCTTTTTCTTGTCTATTTTTTGAGATAGGGTCTCTAAATTGCCCAAGCTGGGCTCAAACTTGTCATCCTTCTGCTTCACCACCCCCCAAATCCCTCAGTGCTGAGACACTGCTGGCCTTGAGATAGTTTTCACATCTCACAAGGTAAAGTCTAAAGGTGGTCTGTTACAGAATTCTTTTTCCATAAGGGACTGAAACGTGGCAGATGATCCTCTCTTTATGTTTTTTTTGGTACCATGGATCGAACTCAGGTCCTTGCGCTTGCAAGGCAGGCAACAGAATCACTGAGCTAAATCCCCAGCCCTATCTCTTTATGTTTTTTGAGACAGGATCTTGCTATGTAGTTCAGGCTGGCCTCGAACTTACTATGTAGCCCTGGCTGACCTCTAACTCCCAGTGATCCTCCTGCCTCAGCCTCTCAAGTGCTAGGATTACAGGTAGGTGCTACCACGTCTGGCTAGTCTTCTTAGTCTAATTTTGAATGCATGTTCCACACAGCTAGTTTTTTTGTTTTGTTCAACTGAAGTCAAGTCTATAGCCACCAAATGGTGTACTGCTATTATTTTAGGTTTCTGCTTTTTGGTAGTATAGGTACTCTACCACTGAGCTATATTACCAGTTTTTTTTTTTTTTTTGGTACTGGGGATTGAACTCAGGACCTTGTGCTTGCGAGGCAGACGCCAGAACCACTGAGCTAAATCCCTGGCCCCAACCAGCATCTTTTTTTTTTTTTTTTTTTAAAGTACTGAAGATTGAACCTAGGGACTTCTTTTTTTTTTGGTATTGGGGATCGAACTCAGGACCTTGTGCTTGCAAGGCAGGCATCGGAACCTAGGGACTTCTCACTGAGCTATAGCTCCAGTTCTTTTTTTGTTTTGAAAGAGGCTTTCACTAAATTGCTAAACTGCCTAGGCTGGGCTTGAACTTGTGATCCTCCTACCTCAGCCTCCCACAATGTTGGGATTACAGGCATATGCCACTGCCACCACACCTAGTTTGTACTGAAATCCCAAAAGGATGACTAGTTAATAATAACCTATCAAATCAATTATATTCAATTGATTTTTTTTTTTTGCAGTACTGCAGATTAAACTCAGGGATGCTCTACCACTGAGCTATATCCCCAATGCTTCTTTATTTAATGTATACTAGTGCATATTAATTTTACAAAATACTGGGTTTCAATGTGACATTTTCATACATGCATATAACATTTTGACCATATTCATCCCCTCTTACACATCTCTCTCCCTTATTCCATTCCTACTGTGTAACAGTTTCCCATCTACTTTCTTTTTTTGGCAGGGGACAGGATGTCACTTTGTAGTTCAGGTTAGCCCTGAACTCACTAGCCCAGGCTGGCCTCGAACTCACAGAGATCCTCCTGCTCCTCCCTTTTACTTTCATGTTATCTTTTTCTTTTTAGATTCCACATATTAGGAAAAATATCTGATACTTTTCTAAGTCTGGTTTATTTCACTTAGCACGATGAACTCTATTTTCATTTATTTGCCTGAAAACTGCATACAAAACTTCACTCTTCTTTATAGCTGGAAAATACTCCATTATGTATATGTACCACATTTTCTTTCTTTTTTTTCTGAGATAGGGTCTGGATATGCAGTTTAGGCTGGCCTTGAACTATGTAGTCCAGGCTGACCTCAAACTCACAGTGATCTGCCAACTGAGCGCTGGGATTACAGGCAAACACCACTATAACTGGCATCACATTTTCTTTATCTGTTCATCCACTGATGGGCACCTTGGCTATTTCTGTATCTTGGCTACTGTGAACTGTGCCACAATAAGCATGGGTGCATAACTACCTTTTTATTTTTTATTTTGAGACAGGCTCTAAATTACCCACCATGACCTTGAACTTGTGATACACCTACCTCAGCATCTTGAGAAGCATTCCAAGTACGCACTACTGTACTTGGCCTCAACTGACACCCCCCCCCCCGCCCCCTGTAATGGGAATCAAAGTCAGGACCTTGCACTTGCCAGGCAGGCAAGGTGCCACGCCACTGAGCTACATCCCCAGCTCTCAACTGATTTATTTTCTTTTTTTTTTTGGTACTGGGGATTGAACTCGGGACCTTGCGCTTGCAAGGCAGGTGCTGGAACCACTGAGCTAAATCCCCGGCCTCAACTGATTTTCTAAAATCAGAAAAAGCAAGGAAAGAAGCCAGGCGTAACAGTGCATGCCCATAATCTTAGCACTCTTGGGAGGCTGAGGTAGGAGGATCAAAAGTTCAAGGATATTCTGGGCAACTCAGAAACTCAATGAAATCCTGTCTAAAAATTAAGCAATGGGGGCCTAGAGAATGTAGCTCAGTGGAAAGGTCATACATGGGTTCAATGGGGGGGGCGCGCACACTGGATAGCTCTACAGACAGAATTTCATACCACCAATTACGTTCCATAACATAAAATTCCACCAAGCAATATACTTTGAAGAGCAGCAGGTGATTTCTGCCTGTTACCACATTCATGACAAAGCCATAATTTTTATATCTTGCTGCCAGGCAGCTTGAACCACTAGTGGTTCATGCATGACTGTCTCATCAGGCAGCTTTTTATTAGTAATAAAAAGACTGATAAAAGTGATTAGATCTGTTTGTACCACCAGTGATAAAGCTGCCAATGGGACAGTCATGCACGTACCACTGGTGCTTCACGCTGCCATAAACATGTTAAAGGGAAACAGAATTCAACCTGAAAAATAATCACTTTTTACAGAACAGCTAGTCTATATGGTCCGTGAGGTCCCCCCAAATGCACCTACCGTGCCAGCAAGGATGTCATGGGGGCAGCAGTCCAGAAGGTGACTCTTGCAAACACGGTCATCTGTAAACTTGACCCTCTGTCTGGTTTCGTCTCCTGAAATTCATTCGTGGTTTTAAATAAAACAGTATTATCGTAATAACCACAAAAGGATATCTGGTACAATTCACCTGGATGATTTGTAGACTATCATTTCTGTGTTCTCCCCATGAAATACAACTGAAAAGCTGATATAAAGATATTTATAACTGGAGTGAAATCCAGATATTTTGGAGGCTAAGTATACGATGAAGAATCACACTTAATGAGATGTGACTCCACCATTGTGCCAAAGAAGTCATGGAATTGGAAGTAAAAAGCTGAGCACCAAAAGGTCATTAACCCAACACAGACATGTGGGCAATGAGATACCAAAAACCCACGCTAAGCAGAGTACAATGAATCACCATGTATGACACACAGCTGGTAATTTCCACCAACAAAATCTTTGTTATGGACAGTGGTTTGCCTAAAATTCATGAAGACAGCTTTCAAATTCTCATATAATCTGGACCTATTCTTTGAATCCCCCTTTAATCCCCACCCTTTAAAAAAAGTTGGCACCCAGGAGTCACTTTAACAAGACAATATCAAAAAAAGCAAAAAGGAACTAGGTTAGTCAATACACACTGTGAGCTCCAACACATACTGTACCCATCTGCATTCTTCAAGACCTCAGCTGCAGAATTTTATGCCCGCTGTTGAAAAGTTTTAAAGGAAAAGTTTTCTTGCCCACACCTGCAGTAAGGAAGTCAGGGGGAATGATACATAAAAAGTAAAGGCAAAGTGGTATGTGACAAATTTTTAAAGCTAATCTGTGTATAGGACACAGAGTTGTGTAATAGTCAAGGAGGAATATATTTTAGGATTTGCAAGCATCCAGGATTAATGTAGTGTCTTTTTATTGAAAATGTTTTCTTTCTAAACTACACTTTTAAAATTACTTGTGAAAAAAAGCAAACACTTTTTTGTTATAACAGCTTAGAAATTGGTTGTGACTCACGGCTCGATGAACATGAGGCTTTTCTGCAACTCCCTTGCAGATTGATGTAGGCAGGCAAAGATACACTGAACCTTTATAAATAAAATAGAGGGGCCACAATTGTTCAGTTTGTATGAAATAAAAATATGGGAAGCAATTCAAAAGCAACTCAATATACAAAGAAAGCTAAAAGCACTTATTCACCTATGAAATAAAGTGCAAAGAATCTGCACAGCCCTGAGAATGTGCCAGTGTGAACTTACAACTTCATTATTTCAGTAGAAAGAAAACAAACCACAGAAGGTATATAGTTTTGTAAGGATGCAATCGCTTTCTCCTGAGACAACCTCCAGGATCTTGTGCTCCTGCCTACAGTACAACCTACCTAACGACTGCCAAGAGCTGGCCAAACAAGAGGCCCTCCTGTGTGGCTGGGGGAAAAGGGGGCTAGATAAGTACTCGGCAGAAACCCGCGTTAGAAAAGCTCAACTTCCGTCTCCCCTTGTAATGGTACTGAACAAGAACGCCCCGGGGGTTCCAGGCCATTCGGCTGCCTCGGGTGTAGCTTCTTCCCCGAGGAGCCTTGGAGGAATTCCGCCAGCCGGCTGCCGGCGACCTGGAGCCTGCGCTGGTTTCCAGCCCTTCGCCGACTTTCCGGTTCGCAGAGGGGCGCGGGGCCGCGGCACCGACGGGGAGGAAGTTACGAGACAGAAAATGGGACGGAGCTGACGCCCCACAGGCAACGCGGACTCGAAGGGAGGAAGGCCCCCTTCTTCCCGCGAGACACGCAGCTGGGAAAGAACCAGGCCGCCGCTGCCGCAGAAGCAAACCGGTTCAGACAAAGGCCCAGCGCCTACCTTCGGCGCAAGCGCAGACGGTCGCGGCCCCTGCCTCAGGCCGCCCGGCGGCCTCGCCTCAATCCCACCCCAGCCCCTCGCCTGGCCGGCCGCCCGAACTCACCGTCCCGAGCTGTGCCCATGAGCTGGTCCAACAGGGCACGCATCTGCGCCTGGGCGGACATGGCGGCCAGGAGGGGCGGCCGCTACAGCTCTTCTCTGGACTGCGAAGAAGGGAGCACCAGTGGCAGCGACGAAAACTGGTAGGGTCGGCGGCTCGAGCCCTCTGAGCACTTTCCCGTCGCAGGGGACGCCGGGAGGAAGTACGTCCACACAGGCACACAGCCTTCTGGGAAATGTTGTTTCGGGGATGCGGAGGCGCTGAGCGCACGGGTCTACGGAAGTGGTTCAAGGGGCGGAGCCAGAGCCCCACCTCCCCGCATCGGTTTTGACCCAGTCCCCAGAACGTCAAAATCTAATCTCTGAGCCGGCGAGATGACGCACCTCTCTAATCCAAGCACTCAGGAGGCTGAGGCAGTAGGATCACCGAGAGCTCGAGACAAGCCTGGACTAGTGAGTTCAAGGCCAGCCTGAACTACATAGTGAAACCCTATAACGGGGGGGGGGGGGGGGGAATGGATGAATTGAGATTTCAGGACCAAGAAGACCATGACAACCATCCTCCCCTATTTCCTCACTATCCACAGAGATGTCTAGTAATATTTGGATTACAGTATATATACATATACAGAAAAAGAGGGAGCACAAGTGCTTTTTGTCTCATATTATTCTTCCTGAAATTACCATTGGCAGGGAGATTGGGTAAATTTAATTTTATGTCCTTTCTTTTTTATTATTTCATTTTATTTTATTTTTCAGTACTAGGGATTGAAACCAAGGCCTTTTGAGCTACATCCCCAGCATCCCCAGGACCTTTTGTTTTTTCTCTTGAGATAGGGTCTTTCGAAGTCACTGTGTAGCCTAGGTTGGGCTCAGACTTGCAGTCCTCCTGCCTCAGCCTTCCGGAGTGCTGGAATTACATATGTGTGCCTTCATGCCTGGCCTGGGTTCCTTCTTTATGGATAAAGCTATTGAGGTGAGGAAGGATTAGGTAACTGGCTGTGGGTTTGATCAATAGCACTAGGAAAAAGAAAAGGATTAAGTAACTGGATAATAGTCAAAGAGCTGGCCAGTGGCTGAGCTAAGACAGGAGTGGAGCCCAGGCATTGTACCCCATTGTGCCTCCAACTGGGACTGTCTGAGGTGCTTATGGCAGTTTGCCTACAAAGTGTTTCTGGTTCTTGCAAATCTAGGCACAAATGCAGGAAATTCATGTTATCCAATACTGCTTGCTGCCAAGACCAAACAATCAAAATGTTCTGGACCAAGGAAAGGAGATCAACATGAAGATATTTAGTTGAAATAACTGACATTCTATTTTTTAATTCTATTTTTCAATTACAACCATAAATAATTTGCAACGTCTGAGGGGAAAACATAATGGCAAGGAACTGACCTTTTGTACAGTATGGGTATAATAATTTAGGACTGTTTATAATTAGAAACAGAATTGCATCTTTCAAAGCCTTCCACAAATGATGATTTAACACAGCCAAGCATGATGGTGTATTCCTGTAATCCCAGCACTCAGGAGGCTGAGACAGGAGGATCACCATGAGTTCATGGCCAGCATGGACTACATAGTGAGTTCAAGAAGAGCCTGAACTATATAGTGAGTCCCTGCCTCAAAAAACAAAACAAGGCCAGGGACTTAGCTCAGTGGTTCCGCTGCCTACCTCGAAAGCACAAGGTCCTGAGTTCGATCCCTGATACCAAAAAAAAAATGATATAACATGACTGCTGCCCTGAGAGAGAAAAAAATATTTGCTCTGGTAAGAGTCGAAATGCAGGAGACCAGCTTGAAACTGTACTAAGCAAGCTTTAGATATTATTGATTTGGCTTATAATTCAGCTATTAAGATTATGAGTCATTACAAGGCCCACGTGTGACTTGCTAAATGAGCCTTTGGCTGGTGCATGGAGACAGACTTCCCTATGCCAACACCCACAATTGAGGTCTCAATGACCGATGAGATTGTGACATCTCTGATATCAAGCTGACACTACTACTAAAGAATTATGACTCTATAGACATTCTCCAAGATCAAATGTTAGCTAAAAATAACGCAGGCTTGTTAGCTATGACCTGCAAGATAACCTGTGCTATCTTGTTTGTTAATTATGACCTGTCCTTCACAAGAATACAGAGTTACTCCCCTTTTCCAAGCCTGGATCATTAGTGCATTCGTTCTGCTATTCCCTACATCTATCTGCCTTTAACCCCCTTGCTATGTTGTGTAATCATGACTGATGCAAAGCTTGTGGTCTTAGCCAGAAAAGAGCTAAGATCAGGTGGTTTTAGCCAAGAAGAACTAAGATCAATTCCAGTTACCCAAAGTAATAAACTATTCTTTGTTCTTTATTCCTTGTTCTTTGTGTATTCTTTTTCCTCTGCTAGTCCCTCAATCAGGTGGTCAGGCATGACCTGAGATCCAACAAAGACTGTGCTCATTGTCTAGAAGCATATGAACCCCAAATACTCTTGGAGAAGATTAAATAATATTCTAAGCCAAGTGTGATGGCCCATGCCTGCAACCCCAGCACTCTGGGATGATGAAGAAGGAGGAACAAATTTGAGCCCAATCTGGGCAACTTAGTGGCTGAGTAAAATCCTGTCTCAAAATAAAAATTACAAAGTAGAACGGGTGGTGCTGGGGACATAGCTCAATGTGAAAGCCTTGGCTCATTCCCCAGTTACTGCCACTGCCATACAATGTATGGTGATTAAATAATGTTTGAATAGTCATTCAAACCAAGTAATTTTAATCTTTTAATTATGCACTACTAAACTGCCAAAATTATTAAAATCAAACAACCAAGTGTTGGTGAAAATATAGGGAAATACAACTGGAAACACTATAAATTGTAGGGCAGTTGTGCATACTCTTTTTTTTTTTTTTGGTACCAGGGATCAAACTTGGGTCCTTGTGCTTGGGAGGCAGGTGGCAGAACCACTGAGCTAAATCCCCAGCCCCAGTTGTGCATACTCTTTACCCCAGTGATTACACTTCTCATGTCTAAGACTACAGTGGGGGTTAGGAGGTTGCTAGTGGACACTTGTGATTCCATCACTCTGGTAGGCTTAAGTTGGAGGACTGCAAATTTGAGCCCAGACTGGGCAACTTAAAACTTCTCAAAACCCTATCTCAAAATAAAAATAAATATGTAAAAATGCACTGGGGACATAGCTCAGTGTAAAGGCCCTAGGTTCAATCCCCAGTACCTAAATAAATAAACATACAGTATGCTCCTGAAGAAATTCCTGATTCTGATTTTAGGGCTAGGCCAGTATATACAGAAGATGAGCTTAGAGTACCTGGTACTTTCAGAAAGCAAGAAAGTGCTAAGAAAACAAAAACACACAGTAATGGAGATAATTCAAAGGGACACAACAGGAACTCAAAGAGCTCCTAATTCCCAAAGCTGGTATAATTTGAGTAACAAAATACATTAATATTGGGTTATAACTCAAAGTATAAAAAACCTAGGCACTGGGCTGGGGATTTAGCTCAGTGGTTCCGGTGCCTGCCTTGCAAGTGCAAGGTCCCGAGTTGGATCCCCGGTACCAAAAAAAAAAAAACCCTATGCACCAAACTGATATACGATTGACTAAATAAGTAAGAATAATGTCCCATGCAAAGGATTTCTAGTTTGCTCATTATTCTCTTTTGTTTTTCCTTCTGTTTTTTTGAGACAGAGTCTTGCTATATAATCCAGGCTGGGCTTGAACTCACTATGCAGCCCCTGGTGGCCTTGAACCCATGGCAAGCCTCCTGCCTCAGCCTCCCAGTGTGCCACACCTGACTGTTCATTATTCTATTCTTCATATTGTATAATTTTTATTTACTAATATTCATATCAGCTGATTCTTTCTTCTTAGATCTGTTGAACCTATATAGTAATTTTTTATTATTATAGTTTTTCTTTTAAATGTTATTATTCTGTTTGGAGTTTGGGCTTATTTATTTATTTTTTGGTACCGGGGATCAAACTCGGGTCCTTGGGTCCTTCGCTTGCCAGGCAGGCAGCGAAACCACTGAGCTAAATCCCCGGCCTGGGTTTATGTTTTTCAACTTCAAAATTTACTTTTTTAAAAAAAACATTTGGGTTTTTGAAATAATTTCTATGCTTTTATTGATATTCCCTTGTTTTTTCAAGACATAGTCTTGGGCATGTTGCTCAGGTTGACCTTGAACTCACAATTCTCCTGCCTCAGCCTCTCCAGTAGCTGGTATTATAGGTGTGTGCCATTGGGTCCAGTTTATTGATAGTCTCTTTGACAAATTGGTGTACTTCCCTGTAATTCTTTAATATGATTTCTGTAAGTTCTATGAACATATTTATAACAGTTGCTGTAAAGTCTTTATCTGTTTAGTTCATCATGTGAACTGCCTTAAAATTTCCACTGACAGCTTTCAAAAGATCCCAGACTGAGCCAAACAAAAAACAAGAATGAACCGCTTGGCCAGGCTGTGGCACATGCCTGTAATGCCAGCACTTGGGAGGCTCAGGCAGGATTGCTTGGAGTGTGAGGACAGCCTGGGCTACATAGTGAGTTCAAGGCCAGCCTGAATTACATAATGAGACCCTGTCTCAAAAACCAAAAACCAAAAAGAATGTACAGTCTTTATGAAATATGAGGTAGAACACGTATGGGTGTTTTAGTTATACTTGTGTTTTTTACGTGATTTGTTTTGTACTGAGGATTAAACCCAAGCCCTTCATATTGGCCTACATCCCAGCCCTTTTTAAATTTTTAAATTTTGACAGATTCTTGCTAGGTCACTAAATTGCCCATGCTGGACTCAGATTTGGGATCCTCCTGTCTCAGCCTTCCAGAGTGCTGGGATTACAGGTCTATGCCACTATGCCTGGCTACCTCTATGTCCTTAGGCCTCTTCTTGAGGCACTAATCTCATTGGCATCTTAAGTTTTCACGTTAGGCGTGAATTTTACTAATAGAGGTAACTATAGATTTAGTGACTATCCTACTAATGCGTTTGTCCCTTGCCACGTGAAATTTGCCCCTTATCATCTAGAAAAGTTCCTAATTGGTCTTTGGAGCAAGTATCTCATTCCCCTGTATCAGTGCTCAAGTTTTCTCTCCTTCCTTTTCCCCTCCCCACTCTATCCTCTCCCCAGTCTGGGCTCAAATTTGTGATCCTCCTACCCAAAGTGTTGGGATTATATGTGTGCACTATTGTACCAAATTTCAGAAAGTTTGATTTTAATGATTTTTTTTTCAGTTGGGACAGGGTCTTGCTATGTAGTCAAGGCTGGCCTCAGACACATATCGATTCTCCTGCTCAGCCTGTAGAGTGCTGGGATTACAGGTGCATGCACCGTGCCTGGTTGATTTTAATGGTTTTATTATTAGTATTTTGGTTCTGGCTTTTTGGTATCTCTGCTGACTACAGTCATTGAGAGTTGAGCTGACAAACCATCCTTCCATCTCTTGGTGCATTATAATGATTTTATTGTCTTAAAGACTAAGCTAGGCATTGCACATGTCTGTAATCCCAGCACTTGGGTGGCTCAACCAGGACGACTGTCGGAGTTCCGAGCCAGCCTGGGCTACATAGTGAGTTCAAGAGCAACCTAAACTACTTTGTGAGACCCTGTCTCAGGAAAAAAAAAACAACAAACCAACCAACCCTGACTTGAGACAGGCATGGCATGCCAAGCCTGTAATTCCAGCACCCTGAGAGACTGAGGCAGGAAGATTAAAAATTCAAGCTTGGTCTGGGGAGTTTAGCGAGACCCTGTTTTAAAAAATGGCTGAGGACCAGGGATTTAGCTCAGTGGTTTCGTTGCCTGCTGTGCAAGTGCAAGGACCCGAGTTCGATCCCCGGTACCAAAAAAAAAAAAAAAAAAATGGCTGGGACTCCTACAAAAAAATGGCTGAGGATTTAGCTCATTTCGAAGGCCTTGGATTCAATCTCCAGCACGACACACACACAAAACCGGTGGCTTTTTACCTCTCAACTGGTATGTTTGTTAACTCTTTAAGACTGAGAGCTAGCCTAGCTATGTCAGTAAGGCCTGGGGGGAAAGAAGTGCAAATACGCTTATTATTACAAAGTAACCAATAAGAAATCTATCTTGGATCCAGGACACCTCGTGCGAAAATTAGGATAAAATTAATTAAACTGCATATTAATTCAACAGAAACTCTTCTATCTATATTTTAAAAAAATATATGGCAAGTGTCACTGCACATTGTTGGAAAATGAAGGACTAATTCAATAAATGACCCTAGGACTCATAGTCATCCACTTGGAAAAAGAAATTATAAGCATGCGAAGCGATACCCAAACAGTAACCATCCTGGAAGCGAGAACGATCCCACAGATCCCACACTCCCACGAGGCCCTAGCGTTACAGCGCCGCTCAGCGGACGCAGCACCCACCGCCGGTCTCCAGAAGCCCGAGCCGCGGGGACTACACGCCGGAACCCGATGGAGGAAGGGGAGTCAGGCTGAAGGCCTGAGCTGGCTCGGTCTTTCAAGAACCAACATGCCGCCCTCCCTCAACCCCACTTATGTGGTCTCACAGCAGAAACGCCTCACCAGCGCGGCGATGTGGCCGACGTGGCGGGACAACAGCGCTCAGGGAACCCAAGTAAAAACCACCCAGAGGGCCGGGGATTTAGCTCAGTGGTTTCGCCACCTGCTGCGCAAGCGCGAGGACCCGAGTTCAATTCCCGGTACCAAAACAAAACAAAACAAAACAAACAAACAAACAAAACGACCCGGAGCCCACCGCCGCTCCACCACAGGTCTTGGGCCGGAAGTGACGCCCCCAGCCGGGGCTATGGGGCGGGGCGGGTCCTGTGGCGGGGGAGGAGGAAACGAGGTGGGTGGTGCCCTGAGAAAGGGGACCAAGGCGATACGCCCCGGGGGCGTGGCACGACGGGGCGGGGTCGGACAGCCTGAGGCCGGGATGTGGGCGGGACCAGCGAGATGGGAGGGGCGAGCTGCGGCGCTACCTCACAGTTGTTCCACCTCGGCTTCCGCACCTCCACGCCGGGGTGTCTCCGGCCGTAGATACCTGGCTCTGAGGTCGGCGCCGAGCCCGCGTTCACAGTCTAGCCGTGCGAGAGGGGCCCCAGGGTGCGGCTCCCTGGATCTTTTGGCCGCGGTCACGAGTAACCTTCAGGAGGCCGGCTGAGGTAACCCGCTGGTGTCTCGCGGGCGCTGACTTGGGGCCGGCTGGGCTCGGCAAGGGAGCCGGCTGAGGCTGACGCCGTGCCCAGCTGGCCGCCGTGGGTCATCTCGTGACCCCTGGCAGCTTCGCCCAGCTCCCGAGGCTTGAGAGCCGCGGGACTCGGCAAAACCCGAAATGTGTTCCCTTGGAGATGTCAGTAAATAAGTGAGCAGTTGTGGACCACACAACTAGAAGAAATGGGAGGGAGGCATGATCGGGGGAGTGACCCCAGCTGCAGTGGACGGGCCTCCCGTGTGAGTGTGAAGAATCCATGAGAACCAGTTCACACTGTGGAGGGAAAAGTCCAGGGAGCTGGAATAAGATGGGACCAAGGGCGTGAAAGAGATCAAGATTAGGTAATGGGGGACGTCGTCTTCCTTCTCCACACTCCTCTTTCTCTTCTTTCTGCTCTATTTTGTTTTGTTTTATTTTTGAGACAGGCCCTCACTATGTAGTTTAGGCTGGCCTTGAACTCGCGGTCATCCTCCTGCCTCAGCCTCCCGGTTGTTGGGATCACAGGTGTGCGCCACCATTTCTGGCTCTGCTCTATTTCTTTGTGCTGGCTTTTTTCTCAGATTCCTGTTGCCGTTACTTCCTTGTATTAGTTATCTGCTGGCGTGTAACAGGCACAAAGCTTAATGGATTAAAATGACCTTTATTTAACAGTTTCAGTGAGTCAAGAGTTCAGCAATAGTCTATGTAGGTGATGGTGGCTCACTGCCCCTGTGGGGCTGGAGGACCTAATTCCAAGATGGCTCACTTACAAGTCTAGTGGCTGGAGTCCTTTCCTGACCTCAGAGGTCTTCCCCTAGGCCAGTTGTGCTCACATGGTAACTGTCTTCCCTCATAGCTAGTCATCTGAGAGAGAGAAGAGGGTTTGGGAGGATGTGGAAATCATTATAACATTCGTTTATTCATTTATTGTTAATGGGTATCAAACCTGGGCACTCTACCATGGAGGTACATCCCCAGCCTTTTAAAATTTTTTATTATTTATTTATTTATTTGTGGTGTTGGGGAGTGAACCCAGATACATCCCCAAACTTTTCTTTATTTTTTACTTTGAGACACGACCTCATGAAGTCACTAAATTCCCT